GTTGAGATGTGCTCGCTAATGTCGGAAGCAGGGGTGATCATCTCTGCCTTGCTGACGTTGTAGTCTTCCAAGAAGATGACCTTTAGGAGATCGCCAATATCGGGGTCTTTGTTAACGACAGCGCCGACGCTGTTGATGAGGTGGATAATCTGTTTTGCCATCCAGTAGCCAGGTGCTGCCTTTCCGCCGAAGATCGAGACGCGAGGTAACTGTTTCTTCCTCTCTTCGGGGCTCAAGGCCTTGAGCTTCAGATACCGATAGATGACACCAAAGATGTTCAGCTGCTGCCGCTTATACTCGTGGATGCGTTTGACTTGGACGTCAAATAGAGACGACGGGTTTACCGTAACGCCCGTGGTGCTCTTGATGTACTTTGCAAGCCGGACCTTGTTGGCATATTTAATCTCAGCCCACTCCTTTCTGAATGCTTTGTCGTCGACAAACGTCTCTAGCTTATTGAGGAGCGTGAGATCTTTTAGGAAACCGAGACCGCCAAGTTTACTAGAAATCAATTCTGAAAGTCGGGGATTCGCTTGATGCAACCACCTTCGGGGCGTGATTCCGTTGGTGACGTTGGTAAATTTGTCAGCGCCGAATATATTGACAAAGTCCTTGAAGATGGTCGTCTGGATGAGGTCTGAATGTAGTTCGGCAACGCCATTGACCTTATGAGAACCAACGACGGCTAAGAATGCCATACGGACCATCTTTGGCTGAGATTCTTCAATGATGGAAACTCGGCTGAGTATGTCCCGGTCATCTGGGAATTTCTTTTCCACGGACTGTAAAAAGAAGAGGTTGATGTCATAGATGATCTGAAGATGGCGAGGTAGGAGATGTTGTACTAGGCCGACGGGCCACTTCTCTAGAGCCTCGGGTAAAACTGTGTGGTTCGTGTAGCCAAACTAAAACAGAGTCAGCAAGACAGAGCCAAGTATGGCTAATTGCTAGAGGATACTCACGGTTGATGTGACTATCTTCCAGGCCTCATCCCATTCAAGGCCTTCTATATCTACTAGAATCCGCTGGAGCTCTACAATGGCTAGTGTTGGGTGGGTATCGTTGAGCTGGATTGCGACTTGGTCGGAGAATTGACTCCAGGCACGCTTCGTCTTCTTGAATCGGCGGACGATATCGTAGAGTGAGGCAGCAACCCAGAAGTACTGCTGCTTAAGGCGAAGCTCCTTTCCGCGGTCGAGATTGTCATTCGGATATAAAACAGCACTGATGGTCTCTGCTCTCTGTTGGTCTGCTACCGAACTCTCATACTCTCCATTGTTGAACTTTTGGAAGTCGAATTCACCACTAGCGGCTTTGCTGGACCACAGTCGCAAGTTATTAGTAGAGGACGTATCATAGCCAGGAATCGGTACGTCGTAAGCTACGGCAGTGACAAATTCACCCCCTTCCCAAAATGCTACCGTCTTTCCATTTTCGTCTTGGGCTTTGCGAACGTTGCCGTAGAATTGGATCTATATTTTCTGTTAAGCAACGTCACGTAAACACAGGTAAGAAGCCATTAGATAGTAACTCACGTCTACCGTGACATCGTGTCTGGGAAATTCCCACGGGTTGAAGTCGAGCCAGTAGTCGGGGACCTCGACTTGGTATCCATCGATAATCTCCTGCTTGAAGATACCATAGCGATATCTTAAGCCGTAACCCCAAGCGGGATAGTTCAAGGAGGCGAGACTGTCTAGAAAGCAAGCTGCAAGTCGCCCAAGTCCGCCATTGCCCAATGCAGCGTCGTGCTCTTGGCCAATGATATCTTCAATACGAAATCCAAGCTCGTCAAGGCCCTCTACAGTAAAGTTAGCTACCTTTTAACCATCCGATCAAACAGAAAGAAGTCAGCTATGCCATTCATTACCTTTAGCAGTGGACTTGGCGCCAATGTTGAGCATAGCATTATCTAGAGCACGGCCCATCAAGAACTCCAAACTCAGATAATAGACGCGCTTGCTATCTGTGAAGGTCTGGCGCTGTTGAGTTTTGGTCCACTCCTTAACTAAACGATCGCGGAACGCTAAGCTTGTAGCCGAGTAAGCAGCCGACTCGTCGCAGTTGAACATGCTACGAGCCAAGGTTGTCTCGACATGGCGAACAACCTCCTTCTCAAACTCGTCCTTTGTCCTGAAGCCTTTATATTCGTGCTTAGTCCATGTCGCACGTTGAGGCTCGGGGATCGCCGCTGTAAGAGGATAATAGGGGTTAGTAAGTGGTCCGATTATAATGATTAAGGAGGTGATCCCTTTAGGAAATGATCGAAGCCACCAGAGGAAAACAAGACTTAGTTATACGAACCTTCTACAATCTTGATCTCGTTGGCTCCAAAACCCGTGAAAGTACGCTTATGCTTCGGACGAGAGATACCCGCGGGGCCTACAGAACCGGATATGTCGACAATAGGTGCGGCTGTGGAGGGGCGGCGCTCCCTGGTTGGTAGACTCGACGCCATTCTGGAACTTTGAGCTTATAGTTTGAAGCTACCCCCTGAGATAGGATGAAGTAGCTGGAATTCACGGAAAGCTGGGACTCGATAATTAGAAAGAAAGAATTACAACCACCATCTTCTATTACAAGTAGACGAACGATTAAAGACAGGTTGGCACGACATACCAAGGTAGGTCTAAGAAAGGAGCTAACGATAAACAGCAGCAGCAAGGATAGTCGATGATGGAATGAGGGGGCGGGGTTAGTCGATGGAGATTGGAGCTTGCTCTTTGTGAGTGTAGAGAGCTCTGGTTCCTAGTCCGATGTCGATCACCGCGGGGTACTTATACGGTTGATATCCTCTCCCGTAACACGACAACACTTCCTATCCCACGAACTAGAGGAAGAATGAAAGTAAAGAGGGAAAAGTTCAAGAGGCGAACAAAGGAAAAATTGCGGGCATCAAGGCAAATAAAGGGGGGGGCCATGGCCGGTAACATTTAAGAGGAATCGGAGCCATGGTGGATACTAAGTTGTCGGGTGGGGGAAGAGTTCCCAGAAGAAATCATGCCACAGCCAAGGCACGATGACGAAGGGAAGCCTGTGGAAGATGCAGGCGCTATGCTGTAGAAGTATAGAACCGTAACCAATTGGCAAAAGCGGCAGCCGTAGGAATTTGCCTACCTCCATGTAGTACCTAATGTATAAGTTAGTTACGTATAACCTAACATCTCCCAATCGCTACCTATTATTCTACTTTATTAGAGAACTGACATGCGAATAGGGAGAGGTCACTGGATGGATGGATGGATGGAGCTCTACGGATAGTGCGGAGAGGTTATACTACCTCAGTATGTACGATTAGAACCACTCGTGTAAGTCTAGAGCTGTCAGCTAACGTTGTACCGGCCAACGGTCTAAGATACCTCTTATAAACTAGTATGGTATTAGCTGGACTGGAGAACCACTTGTTTTCCATAGGGAGTACAAGATGATTTCTGGGGAAATATAACTCGTTATGCTGTTACATAGCTATATATGTCGCTTAGGCACATGAGATAGGCGTATAGTAGTATACTAACGTGAAGCGCTCAGTTATTTAATATTGCCCCCCTTTTTGTCAACACCGGCGTATCAAAATCTCCCACCCAACGACGACTAGGATATGCGGCTGGAGGTCAATATCCGAACCTCCATAGCTAAGCTAAAGACTCGCAGACGGCGGCTCTGTTAACGGTAGCGCGTCTGACCTAGCATTTGCAGCATAATACATACTTCCTTCTCAAGCAACTTACATGGATAATTTGCTGCGTCTTCGAGACGGCTATGTCATAACGCTTGTAGATGTTACCTCTCGCAACGAGGTCGTCTGACTGAAACGACCATCCTCCATACATAGGTACCTAACATACCTAGATACCTACCTACAGCACCATCGCAAATATAAATCATACACTCTTTTCCCCAGCCTCTCCTTTCCCATTGCCGAGATGTGCGCAAAGAACGTTAATAATAATAGCAAAGCCCATCGAGACTCTCCCTTATAAGTTCTGGATGTTCTAGATCCCATAACCCCGCCTCAGTTTAGAGAAAACCCAACCCCTCCCCCCTCAATCCCTGTAGTTTCGCGCTATTAATAACTAATTGGATTCATACATACGCCGTAGCGTTTCTCTTGGCATTGATGATTTACATACCAGCATACATAAAGAAGATATTACATGCATGTGATACGAAGTCCTTGCATTCGAAGGCTTCAAAAAAACGGAAAGGAAACCCCTAAATGTTGTAGAGTTGCGAATTATGATAGGGCAATAAATATATGGGGTCGTTAACATGATTGGGACGGTATACGCGGGTAGACCTTTTAGTTTCTATTCTGCTAAAGTTTCTGTAACTAAGTATAATGGTAGGGTTATATGTAAAGTATTCTAGTTACTATATTGATTCTTAAATCATGTTTCATGGTATGTCCTATACTTCGGTATGTTCAAGATATTCGGTTGAATTATATGGTTATAAAAAGGAAATACAAGGGGGCATATGAAAAGATGCGAATCAACATTTGACACGACTATCATACATAAACCAACGTAATGCATTCATGACTCTTTTTTTCCTATTGGGTTTAATGCGCTTCGCATCATTTAGATGCTATTTGTTGATTTATTCCATGAATACCTGACGGAAAGGGGTATCTACTGATAACTATCTCATGGGACGTCGCCCGACTATGAGCTACCAACTTTATTTTCCCAGCGCCTATGCAGTCTAGACTCGTCTATACGAGTACCTTCGGCACCTCCCTATCCCGTCGTCGATCCTCTGTCGGATGTTGTCTGTAGTGGTGGTGCCTGTCAAGCATCGGGCCAGCTTCTTCCTCTTCTTCTCTAAGTAAAAAATGAACAATAACCATCTCTCGCCAGACTCTTGCGGTCAGTATTTTTTTCTGCCTGCCATTCCACGTCATTCCCATATGCCGAAAACATATTAAAAACCTGTGAAATTGTCGAGGCCCCTGACGCCTTGCAAGAAAAGACAAAACAAAAGAAATCTGTGTGGTTCCCTGCCTAAAACTCCGGCCCAATGCTTTTGTGGTTCTCACTTTTAGGGGTATAACATAAGCCCCGGTGAGCCATAAACGGGTTGAAAAACGAAATCACAAGATGCCAGAGTCCTTAAGCGCATTATTAAGTATCGTTTCCTTTACGGCGGCGAATACCAGCCGAATATTGGATGTGTCTGTCGCCTGGGTTAAGCTAAATACGAAAGTCAGCAACTAGAAACTTCGTTTTTAACTGGACACTTGCGACATACTGAGGGTATAGATTCAGGTGAGCCCTATTAACCTGGTTGAATCTCCATAGCAGGTATTTTGCAGCTTTATTCACATCATTGCCACCAGAGTAGTCCGGGAAATAATTGCCCAACGGCGATCTAGGAAGCTTGACTTTAAATATGTCAACCTTGTTCAGGAACAGTATTATGCTCGTTCTCATGAACCATCTCGAGTTGACAACCGAGTCAAATAGCAACAGGCTTTCCATCATCCGATTCTACATAACGTTAGCGGAGATAAACTTCGGACGATTTGCAATAAGTACCTGGCTACTTTCTTCGAGCAGCACCTGATCGTACTCGCTCAGCGCCACGCAAAAAATAATGGACGTCACATTCTCGAAACAATGTATCCACTTCTTACGCTCGCTCCTCTGTCCGCCAACATCAAACATGCTAAAAGCGCCAAGTTAGAATCCGTACTATATTAGAAGCGCTATTCCGGAACTCTTACTGGATACTGAGGGCTCCCATCTGGAATCTGGTCTCGTAAATACCGGTCGTCTTCGTCCGCGCGCGGAGGACGTCCATTTCGTCTGGCAAGTAATCCGGGGCGCAAATTCGCGATACTTCGTCGAAAAAACTGCAGCAGTGGTAAGCAAGAAACAACCGAACCGTATTGGCTTCTTTACTCACTACTCGGCTGAGTCCATCAAATAGAATTCCGTGGCGTGCTGCATGAGCCGCTCGATGCATGGATCATGCCACAAGGCTTGTACTGCCGTCGCAACCTTAGGTTCGATATGTGCTGACGGGCCCGATTCAACCGTATATCCCAGTAAATAGTCGCAGTACTCTTTGGTTTCGTCGCTACTCGCTTCGATATCGAATTGATCCATCGCGATAATAACGGCTTTGGCGCATTCGATCAAGTTTTTAAAGACGGTGGCGCGGTAGTTGAATAGTTCATCTTCCGAGTAGCCTTTCAAGTGTATTATCTTCATTTGCTTGACAATTGTCGATTTTCCGCTCTCGCCAGATCCTGTTGAATGAACCTTATTAGTACCGTGGACCACGAGGAAGATATCAATGGCTAACTAAACAAGAACAGGAACAAGAACAAGGATAAGCTTACCCAGCAGAAGAATCTTGCATTCTCGTCTCAGTCTCTTCGAATCCTCATCGAGTGCGCGGTCTATAGCCTGACTCCGTTTCTTTTGCTCCTCTTCCTCCTTATTGGAGCTCATGCAAGCTCCCATCATGTATAAAGGTCGCGTTGGTCTGAGAGCCAACGCGATTATGGGTATTTGAATTTGAATCGGTTAATGGCAATTGCTGATTTATAGAGCGACAGGGCGCATATGTGATCCGCGATGGTTGTCACTCAATGGCGCATTCTTCTTCCCCAAAGGCCAAAGGGTTCGTGAACGGGTAGGACTTTACTCGTCGCGATAGTTCCGTGTGAAAAAGAAGTTGGAGTCGACAACGGTGTATGGTGTATGGTTATTCGCACAATTCAAAAGCTAAGAGGGGAGGTACAATTAAGACCGTGTTTCTTTGTTTGACGGGGTCGATGGGTGGCCTGATAGGTTACCCCGGTAGATACTGTCTTAGCGGTGAAGAGAGCGCTTTAGTTGTGGGTTCTCGACTGAGGTAGTTTTGGGAGTTTTTTGGGAGTTTTGGGGGATTTGCGTTGTTTGTCAAGACGGAGTGATGCAAATACAGCGAATAAGCGAATGAAGCGGTAATCAACAGAATATGACGAAATTGATTGGCAAGAGCTGCAAGAGGATATCTAAAGAAGGGAGGTGGTCAGCGCTAACTATCCCCTTAGCCTTAATGCTTAATAACTTGATAAGTTTAGGAGTTAAAAATGGAGGTGCATTTGATAAGGCGGTGTTGCGAGAAACGTTGTCAGGCTAAGTTGTAGTGTAAATGGTAAAAAAATAAAAAATAAAAAACAAGGGTACAATCCCGGCCGCGCCGGTGAGAGTCGGGGAATAGGTATGAAATAACTATACAAAGTAATTCGTGTATTATACATAAATTGTTGATATTAAATATTAAACCAAACATTAGAAATATTGGAAAAGGAATTAAAAAGGATTAGAGTTAACTAATTCCTTTCTTCCTTGTATAAGGTTCCTTTCTTGTTTGTTCACGGGATTACCTACCAGACTATCGCCAGAACCTCTACCTTTACGTATCATAAAGCTATAGTTCTGCGGCCGTCTTCGTCGCTTGACTCTCCGTGTAACGACGTAATGAGGAAATCCATAAACGGGTGGCGTACAATATAATAGTCTTAAAGACGGGACGGGACGGATGCGAGTCCAGGGGGTTGCGGAAAGGATTGCAGTGCACACAAATGCGATGGTGATCTTCAAGTCTGGCAAGATGGCTGAAGGTTTGAGATGGTAAGGTAAAGAAATAATAGAGGGAGGAAAAAACTGGCTTGGCCTTGCAATGGCATAGTGGGATAATAGAATGTAGTAATCGGGCAGGTAATTGAAATCGGTATGTAGGTAGGTATGTATATACGTATATACACACATAGGACTAATAAGCAGAGGGGGGGGAAGCAACATTGAAGCTGGTAAGATTGACTGACGATGATATTGGTAACGTATATAAAATTGGTTGTAATTACTTACAATTTTGAATTATTAGCACACACACAAACAGACACACAATTCCAATTGTCTTGTAAGTGAACAGCGGTAACAATAGTGATAATTCTTAAGAGCTTAATAGACCTTTTTTGATGAGCTTAAGTTTGGACGGGAAAGAATTGTTCTAGAATGGATTGGGGGATGAGGAGAAAAGACGGTGGGAAAATGCCGGCCGGTCACGGTAATCAATTGAAGTTGACGTTGACGTTGACGGGATTTTTACACAAGCAAGACTCACGATGTAACTCTCTTGCAGGGAAAAAGAAAAAGAAAAAGAAAAAGAAAAAAAAGAAACTTATAATAAAGAAAAACAAATATTAATCAATCATGCTTCTCGAATTTCCACTTGTGCAAGGTCACAACAGATACACTACCTAGGGCCTCTTCACCGTTTTTCAACTTGCATCTAGGGCTCCCCTCTCAAATTCTCCAAAGTCTCCAGAGCCCCGAAGGGCTGAACTTTTTAATGGTTCATTGAAAACTGATGGGTAGAGTTTCGTCAGGTGATTGGCGGTATGGATTTGGTATGAATTCGGTTGCATTTGGTACCATTGTTCATTGTTGTAGACCCTTGCAACCCTTGCAGCCCACGCCTGTTTTAAAGGTGTGCCTGCCGACCTAGAGCAAGGGGGCTTCCAATAGATATTGTACTATACCTGTATTATACCCGTATTATACCTGTATGCTTTCAATTGAAGTTGTGCATGACTTTGACTTTTTTGCTCATGCCCGTCCAGTGCCCGTAGCGTCGGGTTATGCCGCATATTAACTGCGATAATACCTTATTATGTTAGGTACGTTGAGTTGATGTACGCACATACTTGGAAATACCTATTCTGGTACACGCTACCCCTTACATTAGGTACATAGTGTATATATATAATGTCTCGACTTGAAATATTTTTGGAACTGAACAAGCATATAAATGGCACTATTGAAGACGCACCTGCGCGAGGTCTCATACATCCAATTATATAATCTAAGTTTAGGTCTACATACATCGGACTGTACATACATGTACCTACCTAGGCAAGCACTAACGTACAGAGGTACATACCTTAGCGGGTGGATTATGTACGAAAGCTCGTTAGCTCGTTGCCTTACGAAAAATGACCCACAAGAGCTTCGTTTAATCCCCATAGGCTAAAATGGCCAACGGGGATTATGCCATCTCTACATATCTCCACGAGCTGCCGGCGTTAAACAAAGCAAACCACATGGGGCCCCATCCATTCTTTTTTAGAGCTCCTTAAATAAGGCAATCACAATCGTTCAGTCGAGATCAATTGATGCGAATTGTCGAGTCAGCGAGTCAAGCGCACGGAGGGAATCGGAAACAAAGCCACCTTGGTATGCTTCTTCGCGACTAGCGATATTTTCTCTATTCCATTGGCCCGGTTATCTGTCCATACCGTGTTATTTTATCACCTGCAGAAAAAAAAAAACCTGTGGGAAAGCATTCAACACTACAGTGTATGTATGTCTGTATGTATGTAGGTATGCTGCAATGCATGCAGAGCCAATTGGCAGCCACCGCTTCCCGATTCAATTCGAGCCGGTCATTCGCTCCTTGTGCGTCCTAAAGACAAGAATGCATCTATCAACGTGCTCAGGGGTAACTTGTGTAGCAGTCTAATATGTTTTGGTCTGCAAAATGGAAGCTCGAGGCAGCGAGGCAGCGAGGCAGCGAGGCAGCGAGGCAGCGAGGCAGCGAGGCAGCGAGGCAGCTGGGTAAGCAGGTAGGCTACCTTATTTACGAAACTAATCTCTTAACTTATTGATCTGACTTCTCGGTATGGTCCCATTCGTCATCTCATAGGTGGTGTCCCTTGCTAATGAAGCTTTAAGCGTCAATTCACCGCTCTATAATTAGAGCAACGGCCGGGTACGCAGATAGTGCTCATAAAACGGGAGGACCAGTCAGCGGCACCGACCGGCGACCGTTAAGCAGGGATAATCAATATGATAATCAATATCGTTATGCTTTCATTTTTCTAACCATATTTAGTTGCAATTGCATACATCTCGCGCATTTCGCAACTCGGCTACTGTTACCCTACAAGAGGTAGCTAATAACATAAAATGACCGATCAGAATTCAAGATCGGCCCAAGGAGTAGGCACTTACCTAGGTGCCTATATATATTTACGTTAGGTATACTTACATATACTTTACATATAGGTGAAGAGTCTAGAGTCTTTGTAATACCTACGTCGACTAAAGGTTTATCTTTTGAGGCTTCGTCACTGACGACTGACGATTACATACGGAATACCCCTATCTTGCATCCTATTACTACATGACAACTTGCTATTATACCATCATTATCATAAAGCGATAATATTATGTGTCAGCAGCAGCACGCTTAATGGCCGAGCCACAAACCACGGCGGGGCCTCCGTACACGACAACACTATTTTGCATCCTTTACTCTCTGCGGTGAAGTAGTTTCCAAAGACTTATGTTTCTATATCCAATCAAGAGAAGCCTTTTGGCTATCGCTGAGTTGGTGAGCGGAGATCTAGTTTACAATCAAACCGTTCAGCTGGTTGATTCCACCGGGTATGTCTCCAACTGGTCACCGCCAGCTTCTCACCTCTTGCAGATGACACTGCATATTACTCCCTCTCTCGTCAGACACCTCCCTGCCCGCGTGTTTGATGTGCCGCGGAAAGGCGCTTCCTTGACCTAAGTCAGACACGCATTTCGGTGTCGGAGCCCTATACCTCGGTCATCAAGCGCGTAGCTGAGATGTGTTTCGGTGAATTCCGGGCTAGACAAGAGCATTTGGAAAACAAAAACCAATGGCATCGAACAGTAAATTTCTTGAGCCTCATATTTATGAGAGCCCCAATCATAACGCTGTTTAAGCACTCCTCGATAATCTCAGATAGAATGTTCCATATATTCTCTCAACAACGCTTTATACTGACGTTATCTTAGTCTAATATGGGTTAGACCCCCCCCCCCCCCCCCTTCTCCCCATCCCCCCTTCTTTCTCTCTCGCTCTTGAGATCAGTATAGGTATACGATATCCGTGCGTAAACCATGGTTGTGTTCCATCATTCTCATAGTGCATCAGAGGATGGATACCAAGGCCAACTGATCTAGAACCGCTGCCTTGAACACGAGGTCTTGTTTCATAAGAATTTAGAGAAAGGAGTTAACTAGTAGGTACATGATACCGGTACTCCAAGATTATGCTAGCACAGCCTTGCTACAGGGCATTCGAAACTTCTACATTCCTTCTAGAACATGTTCATGCGACGCACGTTCTTCCGAAGCCTCCTTTTCTTTATTCTTTCCTAATCCCGACTCCTATGGTGTTTTCGTACTGTACTTATCTCCTCTTACGTCAGTTTGATTTTCATCCTGAAAGGAAATCCCCTCGGTTGACCGGGAACTACACTGACTACAGGCATCACACGTGGCATATCTCGTCTGTGCTCTAATTCAGCAAGGTTCTCAACCATGGCGCCAACCACGTGTCGTCCGATTCAGCCTGGGTTGATTTGATTAATACGTAATGCTCCTACATACGGCAAGCATGCTATCAAGTACTAGCAAAGCTTCGATACCGTCTATGCAGTAAACTAGGACACGAAATATATACGAGAATAAGAGCCGATTCTAAGAAGCGTACGTATACATAAATATATAGTAGTAACCCTAGCTAGAATGGTCCTTCCAGACCGATATACTGTTTAATTCTATCCTTACCACAGGAACTCAACACCACGGATATGTCTGTTTAAGTCCCAAAACCGCGTCTCTCTACGTAGTTTCGCAGTTTACTGCCTGTCCTATGTTACACAGTCATTTATCCCATTATGCGGCTGTGAGACGGGTCGATCGCAATCTCATTTCGGGATCATTGGGTGGATATATTTAAGACAAGCATCGCGATTCTATGTAGTATGGGCAAGGGGGCCTGGATATCGCGAGCCCCAACCTCCTCCCCCCCATAGCACGCGAATCGCGTCGGAACGCGGCTAGCCAAGACGATAGTTCGTCCCTCCCCCCTTTATCCTCACTCTCTCCACCTTATTCCCCAGTCGCCTTTCGCAAAACTTGGTTCGACGACTTTCCCTCGCATGACAGCCTCGCATTTTCTCGGAGCGGCGGCGAACCCGAAGACGACGCCCCTGCGCGCGGCATTGCGGACCATTTCGCGCTGCTGCGCTCTGCGCTGCCCTTGGAGCCTCCGTTTCGCGTTCTCTTCCGTCTCCTCGCTCCGCTCCGCTCGTCCCTTTTCTCCGCCCACGCTGCCGTTGACTTGCGACAGGGTCTGCGGCGGTCGGATCCGAGTCCCGCTTCGTACCGCCATGCGCGCTGGGACGTCACCGTCTACTACCGACGATTCGTCTTCGTTATCGTCGAGAAGACCCACGGCGCTGTCACCGTCTTCTTCTAGTGCTTCTCCTATGGGAGCAGCGGTGCTATCCCCTTCCGTCCCGTCGTCGTCGTCGGAGGTCGCTGGGAGAACTCTGGAGGCACGCTTCTTCCTTCGTCCGAACGTCTTGTCCGGGTCCGCATGATCATCCCCGAACATGGCCTTCTCTACTTCGTCGCAGGAGACAACGACGCGCGGATCACCCTTAACCACGCGCTTTTTCGTCTTCCCATCCCGTCGAACTTGACTGGCACCGTCACCGTTTCCGCCGGAGAGCATGCGCACGAACGTAGCTTCGATTTCGCGGTCCAGGTTCCGCGGCTTGGTGTTGCGACAGCGCTGGGAGCAGTAACTCGGCACGTTGCTACTAGAATCGTGCGCCGCCGCCACAGTATTCGCGCGGCGTGAGCTTATAACTCGGCCGCACGAGCGGCAATAGGGAGTCGACTCGCCTCCTGGAAGAAGGTAGTATGGCGCCGGTGTTGCTTGCGACTTTCCGGGCCGCGACCATGAATCCATCCAGCTCATTGTGATTGGAGACGGCCAGATGGTCTGTGGGTTGAGTAAAGAGAGGTAAGGCCGTAGATTATGTCTCTTGGATATATTTACGAGACCGAGCATATATTATACAGGGTAGATTACAGGGTAGATCTCAAGAAACCCGTACGACGGTAAGTAGAAGTTTACTAAACGGAGACTTATTGTTTGATTAACCTCCAGTCCGAATCATCCAAGTCGTAGCTACAAATACTCCCAAATAATGACGTCACTTGCTAGACAGGAACTCTCAAAGAAGTTCTAGATCAACGGTACTGAAGTGGGTATTTTATCCTCATTGTAAAATGGCCGGTGATCTTATACACTTGTAGTTAAAGAGATCTACTAGACCAAGCTTTAGCTCCAGACGAATCTCTATCGTATAGATAGATACATAGGTAGTAGGGTAAGTTCGTCTAATGCTTTCTATGGACACTCTAAGGTTGGGGATTATCTACTATATCAGTCCTTAGTAGGCTTATAAACAACGAGACAGGTAGCGAGAAACATGGGTAAACAATAATGAGGGCATAAGCTATCTGGGTAATCTCATAGTTACAAGACAGCATCGACGTTCACGGTATGCAGAGCCAAGTCTAAGCAAACCCGCCAACCTCGTAGTGCATCCCATTGTTATTACAATAGTAAATACCTAGGTAAATAAATAAAATTCAATAAGGCGGCGTCCAGTAGGTATTCCGCTCGACTAGACTTATATCCAAACTCGCATATCCAAACATACCATCATCAGCAACTCGTATCATCGCTATACGCCTCCGAAGGCCAGAAGAAAACACAACCTGCCTGCCTTACCCATCCTAGATCCCCCACCCCGTGTAGGGACAACACATCCCTCCCGATGTCGAAGAGAAGTTTTGTTTTTTTTTTTAAAAAAAAAGCCAAAAGGGAAAGGGGTATACGTCGAGTGAGCAAGTAAGTAAGTAAGTAATATATCGATAATCGTACCGTGCCAACCATAAGGTATCATATCATTAACATCTTCGCCGTCGATAACGGTTTATATCTTTTTTTTTATGTGTCCGGACAAATATGTAGAACCGCAGTCGCGCGGCATCGTCGTGATCTATGGCCCACCCACCACCCATTTATTCTCCTCGCCGTTAGCTTCCTATATATATGTATCTCTCGGCAGTGGTATGGTGTATACGTACTAAAGAGAAGCTATGTAGCAACTCTCTTACTGGTGTAGGTATGTAGGTAGTGTAAAGGGGGGCTCCGTGTGGAGAAGCCAAGTAGTTTAATTATGACTCGAGAAATGAGGTGAGCTATTAGATAGATAGGCGCGCACTAGTAAACGCCCGCTCTGCTAGGGACGGGCGGGCTTTCGCTAGTAGGAGTGACTGAACCGAGGGACCCAAATTTACGCTCCGTGTTTTTTCGAAGGGAGATTTGGAATCGTGGTTTCTTCTCCCAGCTGTTGATGCTAGCAGTGTCTCCGGGCTGGACCGTCCTAATTGAACTTGGGTCGAGGTGGGATTGCGGGAAGATTCCCCAGCCCTTTGACGTTGTGCCGGACCAGCACCAGTGATCGGTGTAAGCCCCTGATGAAAGTAAATGTGTTAGTTGCTGGTTTGTAAACCCCCGGATAAGCTTCGAGGATGGAGGATGCTTGAAGAAGCTCGGCCGCTATCGTAAGTATAAACGAGTAGAGAGTAGATAGGAACTTACAGCCAATGTTCTTAATAACGTCTCCTTTATCGAATTTCAACCACCTATCATCACCGTTCTTCTGGTTCCATTTCCATCGCGCCACGGCTTGCACGTTACTCGTGCCCTGCATTTTGATCTCGGTCTTGGGCGGTGCATCGATCTGAACGGAGTCGGCTTCAAATGCTGCACGCACACCGTCGTGCCAGCCGATACCCCATTTACCTTCGTACTTGACTGGGAACTCGATACCGATTATCCTAGCCCCGATAGCAAAGTGCAGGACTGGATCTCTACCAGGCGGCGAGCGCATAACCCCGTTCTGTATTTTTCTCGTTTCCGTCGCAATAGCAGAGGGTAGTCTGGAGAGTTCCCGCGAGAGCCCGACCATGACGGAGAGCATCGGCGGGTGTGGTAAGTGCAGATCAAAGTTGTCCCTAAAGGCTGGCGGTATCTCCGGCGCTTCGACTACCGTTAACCCAGGGATGACGGGGAGTGGACGAGGGTGTCGTGCCAGATGAGCAAATAATTGGCTCTGGTTGAAGAAAACCGTAGCATCACTCTCTTCGACTGTCTTGCCCTCTTGAATACAGAATAAGCATCCGTAGAGTTGTTCTTCTACGTGTCGAATTTGCAAATGGCTCTTTTGGAGTATACGTAGTCGAAAGCCGATGGAATTGGAGGTAAAACTTCCCGAGGCTGGGTAATATGTGAGACTAGATCCATGGATAAGGTGAATACGGGGAAGATAGATCTTACAGTCGTTATTTAAGTCTTGCTCGACCGACTTAAAGTCGATCTCGAATAAACAGTGATTACACTTTGCTACAACGGCCATTGAAAAGCCCTGTCTCCTCTGTCAATACTGCACGCGGGATCAATGTGACGTATACAAACCATATCATGACTTACACCAACGGGCCGTTTGATTTTCTTGAAGCCGAGCCGGCCAGCCATGACCTCTTCTGCGCCTTTACAGAACCCTTTGAGCTTGTAGAAAGAGCTATACGGACCTATCGAACAGTCCGGTTCTCGCGCGGGGATGGGCTGCTCGTCCGGCATCGGGTTTTCTGCGTCGACCGGGATCAGGCCCGAATCTACGTTACCTGGGACCTGGGCGCTGGGACGACGGGCCATGAGCGTGGACGAGGAGTGGTTGTTAGTAATGGTCCCCATACTGGAAGATGTGCTGCCGTTCGTCGTTGCGCGTTGATAAATGGGCGGGAGTCCGGTATACTCTGGCGGTTGCTGCCCCGGACTAAGAGGCTCGACCGATAAGACCGAATTCCGATGATGTGCGGTAGAAGCGGCAGCGGTTGTGGGGCTCATGCAATCGACTATATCGAAAACTGAGCTGTTAATCGACTCGGTCGACGGGTGGCGAGTGGTACGACGAGGACCCCTCTCCTGAGCTCTCTCGTGGGCTCTTTCTTGGGCTCTTTCCTGGGCCCTGGCTAAAGAAGTCTGCCTCGGGGGGAAGCTAGGGATTGGTGGGAGGGCAGTCTTTGGACCCTGGGTGTTAATAGCAATGTTCTCGGGGATAGAAGGGGTGCGACCAAGTACGGAAGATGTATCCGAAGGTGACCGGCTAGACGAGGGATCAAGTAGTTGTCCAGGCCAACTAGCAGAACCCTCGTTAGAAGGTGATCGACTAGCAGATGTAAAGCCGCTGTGCGATCTATATGTTGAACCCTGCGTAGAGTTAGTCCAACGATTCCGCTTCCTAGGAGACTGAGACCCGTCGCTAGTCGTCCCTTGGCTCTGTGAAGCCGCGCGCATTCGGCCGTCTTCGACGTCCCTTTGAGTTAGGGTGAGAGAGTCGTCGGTTTTGCTACGAACGCGCAGGGGGCCGGCGTGGCTACCGAGGGGACTAACCGGTTGTGCTGGAGGGATGGTCGGGGAGTCGTTGGGGACGGGGGGGCGACGTTCCCATCGGTCTCCCTCGACCGAAAGATCCACGGGACTGACAGGCGGGGCCGTTCCGACCTGCCACGGATCGGCCGAGGGCGGTCTTGGCGGATGTTCCGAGGTGGCATCGGATACTTCGGAGCGGTGCGAGTTGCTTCTTCGGTCGAGGTCGCTTACCGATCGCGGGGGTAGATTCGCCTCCAGGCCTTCATCGGGGCCAGCCACCGCTCCCATCATACTTCTTAGTTGCAGCTCTGTCTCTTCCATCAGTTTCTCTGTCGACATGGCCGCTGGAGGGTTGACGATAATACTTGTTGATGGTATTTGTATTTGCCCATAGTGTAAGTTATTCACGTGGTCAGGGGCTGCCGACGGTGCCCTACTCCTTGGGGATGGAGACCGTGGTAATGATGTTGGTGCGGGAGCAACCAGTTTCATCCGTTTGAGGATATCCACGATCTTTGGTGCAGCTCTCCTCGAAGCTTTTTGCAACTCGTCGAACTTGGTGGGATCGAAGTCGTCGGGCTCGACATAGTCGTCGAAATCCCATAATAAGTCCTCCAGTTCGGATCGAAACTGCGCGATTTCGTCTATTGCGCACGAATAAATTCGTCAACTTATTAACTTATAATTCTCGATTGGCCTATTATAATTCCTAGACGAATAAATGCGAATAAAATAAATCTTACCGTTCTCCTTGATCGCATCAACAAAGTTGACGCCATACTCTTCAAAGTTCTTAGTGCAAAGCGGCTCGATCCGCTTCAGCGCCCGTTCGCCTTCTCTAACTAGGTTTTGTGCCGCCTTGAGCATAAGCGGTGACGTTTCTTCGTCAGCATTCGGTACATTTTCAATCGCTGCGTTGCCCTTTTCTACAATCTCCCTAAAAGGCGCGATCGCGAGCCGCTCGACTTCGTCCGTCATGATGGGCTAGTAGTATAGGTTAGGTTAGACAATTGTGAGCGTATACCATCTAACGCAAACGGCGATATATATTAATCGTCGTGGAGAGTCGGGGGAGCTCCAAATTTAGCAACTAGGATGGTGGAGCAGCGAGCCGGCAGGCTGGAATCCTGGATGTCTCGCGACTCGGTCTTCACAGTAGTTTTACATCAAGGTTGCGCAACAACGTTTGGCGGAGACGGTGACACATAATGATAATGCGAGATGACAGGATGAGAAAAGGGAAAAAGGAGACAGAAAAGAAAAATGAGATATCAGATGTAGAAGTTCACCCCGCGGCACAGGGAAGGCTGAACAATACCAGTTGGAATGGCGACCCCCGAATTCGCTAGAGTCCGCAGCAACTGAGCGATAGCTTACATCCACAGTATCATCAATTGCCCGGGGCATAACGGAACTATCAAGGGTCGAGTGGCGTCTTTGGCCAATGCAGAACAGACCAGTACATGGTAGGTCATGGACCCCTGGCTTGCGTGGACCGTGGACGCTCAAGGATATCAAGGGTATCAGGACATCTGAACTATGTACTCCATACCCGCGTAGGCATATCCAAGTCTAGCGTCACCGCCTGCCAAGCCTCTGATTGGACTCTACACAGTAGGGAGGTTATGGTGCCGTCCAGTATCACCCCCAGCAGTTCGACACCGACAGGGGTGGTGCACACGTTCCACTGGCCGGCACCTTAGCGCTTCCCTACCATTGCCTACTACTCTGCTACCATTAGCATCCACAGTAAAGACCTTAAAGACCTCTTGGTTGCGAATCTAACGTCTTAGAGGATCCTTGTTACGATCACTATCACAATCTAGGTTATATAGTATGTCTAGGACGAATGAGGCACACTAGCTTTGATAGGAGACGTCGAGATTCCAAATTATTAGATACTAACGTTTAAGAAACCCAGAGAAGGGCTTTTAATTCCGCAGGCTTTAAAGCGTTATTCCGTACGGATCTGTACACAGTACCGAATTCAGCCGTTGAGGCGGTGCTACATATACCATGCGGAACTGCCACGTAGTAATAAGGTACTGTGACATATGGCATTATGTAGGAACATATTTAGGAGTTATTGTGTACACTAGGAAGCACTGGGGAATTAGTTATGTACAATACCTGACATGCCTAGCATACCTAACAATCGAAATCGCTCAAAGTCCAACGGGACGATCTTCAGATCACAGTGTCACCTACTTCAACAGTATGTACTCTCCGGCAGTCTCCCATTACTAACCCAGGAGTTTGTTCGGGTTGGGGTAAAAGAGCGGGATGTACGGACTCTACCTCGGCCAAACTCGACCAATAAGCAGACAATCCCAAGGCTTGTCGATCACTTTTTAATTTTTATACATGTCAATTCTCCATAACTGAGTCCGGGGAGGTAAGCATCTAAACAATTGACAGGCAACTGGCACCTTGTTGATTCCAGGAGACTGGAAATGAGTTGCGTGTAGGTATGTACCTGAGGATAGATGCATAAAGACTGGTTGACGAGATACCTACATAGGGCAGAAGGCTTTGCGATGGATGGATCTGAGTCAACCCACCATCGGCAAATGCATCTCCACCGAATCCTGTACCTTTCGGACGAATCAAGGACCTCGGCCTATCGCGAAGGAAGGTTTCTTTGCTCTTTGCTGACTGGCTACCTTTACTATGTACCGTATTGTACAATGCACATTTCTTCCCTAAGCTCATCCCTCCGACGGCGATCCAAAGGCTACCCAAGCCTGCCCACGTTACGCTGTAGAGATATGAGACATGCATCACGCATTGATAAAGGATCGAACCTAGATTATTCGCATCGTTTACGAATACAGTATGCCATTAATAGCATCCTGTTTTAGCTTCTACGTCATGGTACAATACTATGTATGTCTTCAGAAGGTGAAATAGTGGTTCTCGTTGGGAGATTATATTCCCAACATTAACAATACCTCTTTAATCCTCATCGACAGGGCCATGTGGAAATAGATGAAATAGATAAGAGAGAAGACGAAAGTAGCCATAATAGACGAGAGAATACCTAGTGTACCTAGTCCCAAAACCCAATTCTCAATCCCCATTTTCATCCCACCTAGGTAGTCAATGGTCTATCTAGTCAGTGGGGGGGACTTTCACCCCGGACATGCAGCTGATAAATAGTGTGCATGTACGTGCGAGCTAGCCTACATTACTTCGTCTTGGCATCAGGGCTGATGTATGTACAGAAGACTTCCAGGCAGCTGGAATAAGGCAGAGTATATGTAGGTAATATGTATGCGGCCCGGAAGCCTAGAGAAAAGTTGTGTCGGTATCAGGGGAGGCATTCAACGAGGCAAGGCAGATTCTCCAAAAACCTACTCTTTATCCAGTTCGCAACCACTCAATTACAAAATACATAGCCCCGTAGAATTTCAAGGCGCCGGACAACTTAGGTACCTTAGAGTTATGTTTGCCTACTTCTGCTGAGTGGTGCGGCTGAGATATTGTTACCATTACCGCCGTCCACATTCTCGGTATCGAAGAGCATGAGCCGGAAAGATTCTCAGCATGGTCTCAGCAAACGCAGACGTTTACACTAGGTACTTTACAGCTTAAAAATTTAGCTAGCAAGCAAGCAAGCTTCTCGAAGACGTCAAACATTGACGAGTTTGCCAGTCCTCGCGGCAACGTTCGCTTGGCATCGCGTACTGTATGTATCACCAACCCTCCACTTGTTCTCGATATTTTCCGAGGACTCATCTGTGCATTTCTGTATTTTATCCGACATTGGACGCAACCCGCAACCTACCTTACAGACAATAGCTCACGTGCGCCTATTGAGGCTCAACGCGCATTGGTCCCCCTGAGTAACATGAGCTTAACATGAGCTGGGTTATGCGATGGTGTCATTGGGGTAGGATAGAGTAAGTAGATCGACAACAACCTTCCGAAATTCGGTTCCCAAGACCCTGATGTCTTGGAGCCATCTCGCACCTAACCGAATGATAGGTGTCAATACATAACCAAAACAGACCACGGAGAGTTTGTTCACCTTGTAGAGCTGTACGTATTGTACTTGTATTGGTAGACTGGAAGAATCCTTCAATGGAGCCATCTGGGCTAACGTGGTCGGTTCCCCACTGATTGCTCCCACCCAAGACCACCCAGACCACCCAAGAACTACCTTACCTGCTTGCTTGGGTCCCTCCGTTCAGGGGTTAGACATGCCTTATCCTATCGTCTTCACCTTGACGGGTTCACATGCTAACATACTATAGTCAAGACCCTCTTATATAGCACTCTTAGATGACCAGGTCTCCCCTCTCATCGATGCCACCGTAGTATTCGCGAGTTCTTAGCTTCTATCATGTAGCTGCCCCTTGCATTTGTTTTCGCAGATATGGTGGAGATTATCGAGTCCACTCGGGTGAATTCAACGTAACATGCATTGCATCGTTTCTATAATCTACCTATGTATGTATGTGTGCTACCTTTTTAAGTTGTCACCAACAACGTCCATACATAGTATATGTAAGTCGGTCCCGTGCTACTTCTACTTCGGAGGACGCCGACAACTTGACTACTACTACTTGAGAGGGACATGTTTCTAGCACAAGTATGAAACTTGAGCTAATGCGATGTTCCTAAATTATACGATAACGGTGACTTATACTACGCTGACTGTTGACTACCTACCTAACGCTACTATGTACAATTAAGTGAAGGAGATGTGATTAGGGTTATTGCGTATTACAAGGACTCCCCTAGGTTGCAACAAATCAAATTAGATTAAATGGATAACATAGTAAACGCCGTCACCACCAATCAGGAACGGTGGATAGTTGATGGCGAATAACTACACTATTTTTGCTAACATCTAATACGCCGTAAGAGTGGCATGTGTTTAATGCGTCCCACTTGATGAGCAGGAGAGCAAACAAAGGTTGAGTAGAAGTGTAAACGACGTCATTTAGTAATAGTAAGCGCAGCTGAGAACATCAGATACCACGATAGAAGACTCATACGATACAATGTGTAATTCAAAGTAATTCAACTACCGCCTGGGCCCTATGAGTGACTCCCTGCCTTACACGGTAGTAATGACTGCTAATAACTGCCAATGAACTCAGTGATACGAAACTCATAGGTCATAAACGAACTTTATGCATCAGTCACTAATTTGACTGCTATTATCTATCATGTCTATCATAAGTATGTTCATAAGTATGTTCAAGAAAGGGGATAGCAATTTTTAAGCTACAAACCTCAGTCGGTATATCTCGACTACCTACCTCATACGTCCTTATATAATATATGATCAATATAAACATATTGCTTATTTCCAGCGCCGCACCTATATTAAAACGTCAGCTACCTATAATACACCACCCCCCAAAAACCAAAAAAAAAAACTCAACAAGTAACATCACAACGACGCAATCGGAAAATGTCCGAGACAATCCGTCTCCCCCACAAACCCGACGCCCCGCTGTCTTACCAATTCGTACCGGGACAGGGCCCCTTGTCAACCACCCATCTCATCGTCTACCTCAACGGACTCATCGCCCCCCAGTCCGGCTGGCGTGCAACTATAGACCATCTTCGACGACGATGGGATGAAGGCGGCAGTCGCAGCGCTAATCACCCAGCGCTACTTACCTACGACCGCTACGGTCAGGGCGGGTCCGCGCGCGATCCTGCAGATGACCAGCACGGCGGGAGCCATGACATCCGCGAGGTCGTCGCGGACCTGCACGTCTTAGCGCAAGAGATACGGCGCACCAAGATGATAAAGGATGCGGATGCCTCGAATGAAGATGATGGAGCAGCAGCAGCAGACCAAGTGCCCAAGCCCAAGTTAATCTTCGTCGCCAACAGCATCGGCTGCGTCATCGGACGTTTCTACGCCCAGACGTACCCGGGCTCCACGGCGGCGCTTCTATTCCTCGACAGCAACATCGCCAACAGCGACCAGGTATCGCTCTTCCCGGACCCGGACGCGCCAGGCTTCGACCCGCACGTCCTGCTCCCCCCGGACTCGACGGTCGCGGACCTGCGCCGCACGCGCGCCGGCTACGCCGCGCACTTCCACCCCTCGGCGCCGAACCCAGAGCACCTGGACCGGCGAAACATCATCTCGCTGCTGCCGCTTTCCGACGGGCCGCCGCTGCGGGGGGCAGAGCCGGACGAAGGCACGGGGCCGAGGATCACGGTCGTAGGGCACGACTGGGCGACCTTCGCCGAGGAGGGCTTGCGCGGGTCCATGAACGTGCCCGAGGGCCTGACGAATAGGTACGTGAACCCGCCCTGGGCCGCGTATAACGAGGGACTCGCGCGCCTGACGAGCGCGGATAGAGCGCGAGGGCCCGTGATAGCGACGGGCTGTGGCCATTTCATACAGAAGGATGATCCGGCGCTGGTTGCGGAGCTTACGGATGACTTGCTACGGAATATCGAGGCGGATAGTGCGGCATAGGGGTAGGAGGGGTGGAATTTGAGGTTTACCAACATACTTGGCTGGGTAACCTCCCTTTTGCTCTTACATATCTACCTACCTAAGGTAACGTATGTATGTGTGTGTGTACGTATGATAGCCTTACGAGCACCGCGATGAGTTTACGACTTGCCATTTCGGCCATTATACCTGATAACTAGTAGTAGATAGACTGTATTAGGTAGATACGAAGCGACGTCGATTCCAAGGATTATCTCCCTACCAAAACCCATCTTCTCCATGCGACGCGCATTTAGTTGCACGGAAACCCTTTACGAGCAACGTTTCTACATAGGTAGTTACCTAACACAGCCAGTCGAAAGGAAAACAGTTACCTCCAAGCCATCTATCTATCTACCTACCTACCTTAGGTACCTAACCTATCTGCTACCGAGTCTCTGCAAACCAAAATTGCATGATAGATAGATAGATGGATAGGTGGATAGGTGGAAACGGCAAGTTACAACGTTGCGCGTCACGTAGTATTGCAGCGCGAAGCGGCTCTCCATTGGGCTGAGCTTTGACCCTATTCTTAGAACGGCACCATACCACAAGCGTAGGTAGTAAATTAAGTTATTGTCCTTATTATTTCCGAATGCACCGTGATGTGACTGCTACGGCTCGGAAATGATCACGCTCGATGCTGACTATGATCCCCGCTGCTTTAGCGACTTACCGACAACCCCATGGGAGAGGTTGGAGAGGTCTGTGAAGGACATGGAAATATGGCTAATCCATCTATGGCCTAAATAGCGACTTACCCTCATAACTAGGTAGTATTGCTAGCTATAGCTACTTAGGCACGTCGTTTTAGATCTCTGTAACCGGACATACTAAATTCTACACTATACTCTTACTAGGGGAAGATAGGGGTTCTTCGCTTCAAGTTTCTGTTTGTATATAAAGCTCTAGAAGGCCCATGCATGCCCAGGGAGACTGCAGAGATGGACATATTCTTATTTAGCGAGGACAACATTCGGTATAGCCAGCAATCTGAATACTTAGATCTAGCCCCCAGTTTTTAGACCATGTTAGCATGGCGTATATCACACATATTCGTTGAAGTAGTTTTACCATACAAACTTATTAGCAAGGACGAGACCGCAACGGACTGCTAGACGACGCACAAGGGATAGCAATTTTAGTTCTCTAGTCTACCCAAGGGGCACTATGCTTAAGTTGGTAGAGGCTAGTGGTGATCAGCCCCTATATATAGCCTTCCTATTTGCGGTAAATCTTTCCTATACAGGCTCTTCTTTGGGGTACAGCTCCTCCGCAAAATGCTAATTCGTATATACATATATACTAACTACAAATAGTGTAGTAGGCTATGTGAGTCAGGGGTCGAGTGATAGGGGTTTGAGGCTTGTTGAAACCTGGGGTTAGCTATAAGTCATGCCGGCGGCTTGATAACTTTCCGAGGACTACTAGTGTAAACTTGTTCCATGAGATAATTCGGCAAGGAGCTTCCTACAACGGTAACAAGACCGCTACCGCTAAGCGTCACATGGGCGAACGTCGTTATTATATACACGCATATCCTTTACCTAAACGTCCCTGCCGAACTCACCGCCGAATGGCGCCGTGGAGGCTCCGAACAAGTCCAGCCGGCCGCGCCAACTGACCATTCGCGGAGCTGGTAGGCCGAGAAGCGCATATCATGCGAACTCCGCCAAAATTATGCACTCAGATCTTGCAGTTATTCATCCCCAAGGGCCTACCTACTAGGTAGGATGTTGATGTTACTCCGAAACGTCTGGGGGCAGACAAAAGTAGACGATATTCACTAGGCCAATATCTAGGCACGTAGGCTAATTCTTGAGAATAGGAGACAAGAAATGAAATTTCAGCTAATATATAGTAGCACAAACCTATGCGGGTGATTATGGGGTGCTGTTCCGGAGTTTTCGGAAATCTGTTATCACCCAACAGCCCGCCGAGACTCTTTCTTCACGTAAGTTCTTCTCCTGAAGCGTTCGACCGCCATCTGTTTTTGACTGGAGATGATCCACTACGTTTACCAGCACATAGGATCAAGCCAATGGGCTCTGGGCCCCATCTCGAGATGCGGGTGTCGTTGTCCAAACATCAAGCCAAGCCTAGCCCTATATTGGTACTTGGTGGCACAACGCTTGATGAATATCATTGGAACAGAGCGTGATGCAATTCTGCACGTCAAAAGCCACGAACTCGATAGCCTTTCGGCATTACGATGACGTGCATGCGCTAATCGACACCACTAGTATAGGTTAGGTACGTAAAGCGATATATGACATATAATATCGATGAATCGTTTTCTATCTCAGGATTTTCGCATCCCGTTCGTCCTGCTGGTGTTCATATCCGAGCTCATATGTAGCGGTGAGGGATGACTGAACTTGTCTGACTTGTAATACGTATTTGGTATGTGGTATATAAAATAACAACAAATATTTCAGTAACTGGTAACTGACGGCGCCATCCTCTTTAAATCAACTTCGAAGGGCGACTAGTCCACGTGGTCGCACACTACGTGTATTTTAGCCTGGTGCAACTTTGATTCATAGATCTTAAGCACGTGGAATTAATGAGACATTGACTTGAAGCAATCGCCTTCTTGGCAGACTAGTATAAATAGTTAAACGTAAGTAGAAGAAAACGTAAGTAGAAGAAAGAAAACGATTGTACCATTTAACGTTATTCTGGAATAACTACTGAATATAAAGTTTATTGGTTATAGTTAACTATTGGATCAATCTATCTCTGAAACTCAAATTGCCCTTTAAAGTTTAACGCATTGGCCACCCCACAGATCTCCCGTCTCATCTTCTCCACTTTACGGCTTTTCCAAATGCAGGGTCCGATGCTCGGTAGGTGGCTCGATTTAGTTCCACTGTCGTCATTGGTGGCTGACCACGTTAGCTGACCTGGAAACGAAGAAATGACATGGGATCGATCCCTAAAAAAAATTATGGCCTTGTAATAATGTGGGCGGTCTACTGAAGTGGTCTGCTGCCTCTGTGCCTCCTCCTCCTTCTCCTCCTCCTCTCTTTCTACTCTACTCCCACACCAATGCGTCAAAACGAGGCGAACCAATTCCAATCCTTCTTCTGGTGTGGTCATTTTTATCCTACCGCCTTCCCCTCGCGCGCATTAGCAACCCTAGTAATGATACTTCTGAGTTCAACCATAGCCTCGTTACTTGCTTCAGTTCTTTGATCACAATCTTTCCAAATGCCGCCGGCTAAGTCAAAAGCGAATCACGACGACGCAAAGTCGGAGACAGCAAGCGTCAAAGATCGGAACGGCCACGGGTCTAATCATAACCAATCAAATGGGAAACTTCGACGTGTTGGCAGTTCCACGGGCTCACAATTGCGAGACGTAACAGCCGTCAACGGCGGCTCCTCGACTGCACCAACTTCCGCGTCACAACCAAACCACACTCCAGGGGTAAACACCAACTCGACTATTCTATACTACTCTTCCAAGTTAACTTACCAATTTTTTTTTCAATATAGTTGCAATGGCCGTCCTTTGAACGAGATGTCCTCCACGACTACCGTCGCAAATACCTCCTCCACACCCCGACCGCTTTTGCCAACCCATACCATCACTGGGTGCTTTCGCGACCAGGAATCGGCTTGCAATCGCCCACCATGGCACGGAAATTAGAATACCGACGCCAGAGTAAGGAAAACCTTACCAAGGTCGTTAGAAAACACTTCAATGCCCTCGGGGTACAGGAAACCGATGTCATTGTTGACTTTGTTCACAAGGTCAGGAACCCAGGCGTTGGGAAGATCAAGAGAAACAAAGATTTACCACACTCTTCCCCATTACCATGATACATATATATATACCCCACGAGAGCGAGAATTATTTGTCCTTCTGGATTCGGGCGCTACTTTATTGTTGTAGATACAGCATCATCGTTATTGTATCTCTAGACTCGCATCGAGTCTTTGCATACATTTGGGTTTCTCGCATTTTTTTTTCTGCATTATCCTGGAGTTTTAGCGCTTGGGTGGGACCCTATCACGGAGGAACAAGGGCCGACGACTATGACGAATGGGTAGCATAAAGGGACACTCCGAGGCTCTAGGATAGGGCTGCTCAGGTATATAAGGGATCAATTCGGGATTGTATTATTACTGTTGTTATTAAATAGAAGTCGTTATCTACCTCTGGTACGAAATATTTCTTATCGTGCATATGTAGAAGATGTTTATTATTGTTGTTTCCACTCTGTGGATACCTCTTTGGTTCCTGGCTGCCACTTTTTTGAGTTTCGCGGCTCTGTAGTATTAGCGTTAGACCGAACCCCTCACGCGGGACCCGGACGCGCTCAGTTCCAATTACTAATTAAATAAATTGAGATTGGCCGCGCTTCTTAAGTGGCACCGCATCTGGCGTAACTCGGAATTCAATTCGAAAATTTCAGGTGGGTAAAATGTATGCAGGCTACCTATGTACCTGCAAATTTAAATATGTAAGAGACAGAGAAGGCCTTTAACATTTACTTGTCTCGCTTTGAATAAAACCAAGCTAATAAGGCTTAACAGTAATGACATATTTTAAAGGTCGTGCGTGATAAGGGTTGTTTAATTGATATTAGTGCGTAATAGGATGGCTATTGAGACTAGTACTAGATAAGTAACCCGAGGTTATCTACATAATTTACCCGTAGACAGTTGGGCATATCGATAACCTAGTGTAGTTCAGCTGCCAGGTGTTTGTTGATCGCTTGCCGGCTGCTGAAGATTCCCGACCGGACAGATGCCGGGATAGGTACATCCGTATTTATTGTGGCTGATCCCTCGTGGCTTTCCACATGTCGGGCAAGCTTTCCAATTTGTGGGGCAATTGGATGATCGAGAATCTTCCCGTTTACTCGGCATCGTATCTTAGCGCAAAAAAAAAAAAGTTCGAGCGTCATTGTAACGAACGGCTCCGGAGTTGCATGTTAATCATCTTCACTTTTTCCTCTACGACATATGCAAGCGTGACTGAATAGCTCTCTAAATACACACGATATTATGAGGAATTTTGATATCTGGTAGAATTTGACGTGCGACTAGGAGTATTTAATATGAATTCGACTCTATTCTCAAAGGCAGCGTCAAAGGCAGCGCTGCCCTCGCGCATACTCTCCCCTGTTCATATATATAGAAGGCAGAGATTACGAAGTAACTTACGAAAGCGCGCGCAAGCCAGCACGATATGTTCTCTGTCAAAACGACCAATTATTATAACGAAGCAGCCTGGATACGAAGCCGTATTGTGCAGACGGGTATGTTAGTTTCTTGGAACTCGAGTTATACTTCTACTAACCATGTCAATATTATAGTCCTTCCATGCTAGTCCTACTTCTCTCGCTATTAAAGATCCATATCAAACCCTCGGCGTTGGGAAATCTGCTTCACCGGCGGAAATAAAAAAAGCTTACTATGGATTAGCCAAGAAATTCCACCCGGATACAAATAAGGACCCGTCGGCGAAAGACAAATTTGGCGAGATCCAGTCCGCGTACGAAATCCTGTCCGATGCGAAGAAGAGGGAACAGTACGACCAATTTGGTGCCGCCGCCTTTGATCCTAATGGTGAGCCCCAGCCGGGAGGAGGCGATCCTTTCGGGGGTGCGGGTCATCCATTTTCGGGGTTTGGGGGACAAGGAGGTTTCGGTGCGGGCTTTAATTTCGACGATCTCTTTTCTGCATTTGCTGGTGGACGAGGGGGGCCGTTTGGTGGAGGAGGCCGTTCCGGCGGACGGGGTCCATTCGCTCAAGAAATACTCGTTGGAGAAAATATCGAGATACAAACGAGCATATCATTCATGGAAGCGGCTCGAGGAACCAGCAAGACGGTTACGATACATCCCCTTGTGCAATGCCCTAGTTGCAGCGGAAGCGGTCTCAAGCCGGGTACCAAGCGGTCGGACTGCAAGTCTTGCGGCGGTACAGGTACACAGGTGCACCTCCTATCTGGTTTCCAAGTAGCGACTACTTGTGGGGCTTGCAAAGGTACTGGCCAGACAACGCCTAGGGGATCAGAATGCCGGACGTGTTCCGGGGCCGGAGCCGTTAGGGAAAGCAAGACTATTACTGTAGACATCCCGGCGGGTATTGAAGATGGGATGAGGCTACGATTAGACGGCGAAGGAGACGCGCCTGTCACTGGCGGCGCGGCGGGACCCGATGCTAGAACGTCTCGAGGAGATCTCTACGTTTTCGTCCGGGTAGCGCCGGATCCTAAGTTCAAGCGATCAGGCTCCGATATCCTCTATACTGCAACTATACCCTTAACCACGGCGTTGCTGGGTGGTGAGGTGACTATCCCGACACTAGATGGACAAGTCAATGTAAAGGTTGGGACAGGCACGAACACCGGTGACAAGATCACCCTACCTGGGTTGGGTATGAAGAAGCTAGGTGGTCGGCGCAACGCGTCGGGAGACTTGAAAGTTGAATACCGAGTGGCGATGCCGAAGTATCTCTCGGCCAAGCAGAGGACAATTGTGGAGATGTTGGCAGATGAGATGGGTGACAAGACAGCTAAACGGATAATGAATGTTAAGATGCCGGGGTAAGAAATCTGCCAATGTCTTTACATGCGTCGGTGTATCTAATCCAAGTAATTTACAGATCCGGAACCCCAGGAGAAGCAACAAAAGATGACGACCCTGCATCACATCGAAATGAAGGATTTCTAAAATCTATATGGCATAACTTGACAAACCATCCAGCCCATCAAAGGCCAGAGGACCAAGGGCATGATCAGAATAAGTCTGACGAAGATCCGAAGAAAAAATCTGATTAGGGTTCTAGTTAGGCTTATACTATACCCCTTGGGTGTCGTCTCTGGACGAGTGGACGATATATATCCCCTTATAGCATGTACTATACTTACGCCTTGGGATATAGGTGGTTAAATAAAGCACTAAAAGTTTAGAAATGGAGATTGGAACTGCATGGATGGTGTTGAGGCTGGATTGGTGATATTCGGACATCGCCCGTCGAAGCGACTTACTGGCGAGAGCAGTCTTGCGCGCCTCGATACCCGAAATGGGATGTATTTAGCTTGTATATTACGCATAGGGGCTCCAAGGAACGTCATATAGTGCGAGGTCACTCTCCTCAATTCGAGATATACGATGAACTGGACTTGGGATGGATGACTAAAGTATATCATTCAACTATGTAGCTAGGTATGTCAAATTCCACGAAGCTTCTCCACAAGGATATCTATCCTTCATGTATGTAGGTAATAGACGATGTACGTAAGTATGTCGGTATGTACATAATGTAAGTAAGTAAGGTATGGGGCATTGATAATGTACGGAATTGATCTTACAGGCGGTCGCAGAAGCGGTCTCGGCAGGGTGGCAGGGTGAGCCGCGAGGAGGGAAACTGGGAAGCAGCCTTATTGAGTTTAAGGTCGCAGCGACGGCCCGCTAAGCGCCTACATCCCTTGCTTCTTTCTCCACGAGTCTCGAAGCTAACCGCCTGAAGGACCAATCATGGCACATTTGGGGCGGAAGAGGATTGCAGGCTGTAGCCAATGACGTACGATAGAGGGCAAAAGACCCCTCGTCACCTGCATAAGTGCGCTTGCTATCTGTATACTAGGTACTGTTTGGTAAACCGAAGTTAATGCTATGTTCTATGGTATTATTGATTGTATAGTTATCTTTAAAAAAAAAAAAACAAAGAAAAGGGAGTTTAAAATGTCTGACACAAATTGGAAGATACAGAGGCTTTGTGTTATAAGAGGGGTAGGATACATATTTGAACTTTAGAAAATGCCAATAGGGACCTATGTAGTTATGCCAATAATTTAATGTAACCTTGATGTCCTTACTGTGAAGTACCTATGCAAGTACCTTTTTAGTAGCACAACATGACTTAGGTATTATGTACATATGGTATATATGCGGGATTATAAGCTTAATATAAGCCATTAAGAGGCGTCTCGTCTCGTATGTTAAGCGCCATGTTACACATCACGTAAGTTATCATAGATGTACGGAATATATGGCTTAGATTGCCCAACGTTAAGTGAGTTGAGTAAATTAAGGCTTCGGTGAGATTCGGTACAATATAATAGATATATACAGTACCTGGTATGTACACGCAGATTTTATTACAGGGCATTTGCTGCTAACGATTAACAATGCCCTACCATCTCATACTCCGCACCAAAACCCCACTATACCCAAGTATTATGGTACCTTTGGGATAGCTGTCCCGACTGCCTGCCCCACTGTAGATACGTTTAAGCCTTAAAGATTGAACCTACGGCGGCTACTTCCATAGACGCCTGCCCAGAACAACTTCAAAACGTCCTTGTCGTTACTAACCAGCCCGAACCTCCGTTCGCATGGCCACTTTCATGTGTCTCACTGCATTCACCAACGCGCTGCGTGTCACTTTATTTATGCGTCATCTTAGTTGACTAGCTCTCACTTGGTTCTACTCGACTCAATCATCTTGCGTCTTGTTGCAACATAATTAATTAGGCTACAGGCTACATACATTATACACTCCGCACTCTACACTCTACGCCCTCTCCCACCTCGTCCAATCCAGCCTTCTGCAACTTTGCTTTTTGGACGACAGCATGTTGGAAGATACACCGACTCCTGGTACAAACTTACCTTCAAAGAACTAACTTGGAGCGAGTGTCGTGTGTTAGAAGTGGTGACAAAATTCACGACCAACAATTCATAACCTGATCTAGTGTCCATCGTCGATACAGCATCAAATTACACCAACCCCACATCTCTTTGTACCTTTCGTACATACGACGATAGACTTTTCCTACGAAGCCTAGGTACTTTTCCTTAAGACAGACAGGCCTAGGAAATATAATATTAGAGAGCGAATTTACCGCGCAGAAGTCTTCTACTGCAATTCGCATCTTCCGCCATGACGCAAACTCCCATGATCTCGGTGCCTCTAAAGGCTACCAACGAAATCGATTGGATCACCCCGCTTAAGACCTACATTAGAGATACTTATGGAGATGACCCTGAAAGATATGCAGAAGAATGCGCAACGCTCAACCGCCTCCGCCAGGATATGAGGGGTGCGGGCAAGGATAGCACTTCCGGGAGGGATTTGTTATATCGATACTACGGCCAGCTCGAGCTGTTAGATCTCCGCTTTCCTGTGGATGAGCAGCATATCAAGATCTCTTTTACCTGGTATGGTTATTCCTGCAGAGGTCGTGTGTTAGTACTGTATCAATTCTGACTTGAGTATGA